GTACACTGTGACCGAATATGTGTACACCCGGGAAGTGTTTTAGTATGCATGATCCATGGAATGCTCCAGATTCTGAAAACATAAATTAAAGTGTTTAGGCTTTTGGATATAATCAGTCTACAAACATAATAGGTCTTGAATAACTAAAGAAAACACAAAAAATTGTCCCAGCTAAAGGAGAAATGTCAGCTAAATAACAGAAGTCAAGACATCCAGGTATCTGCCTGCCAGAGACAGCGCATGGAAGTTGAAATGGATGTCTAAGACTGTATAATCAGAAGAGGGCAAGGATTTTACTCATTAATGAAATATAACTGAGAATTACAGATATACACCTCTGTGGAAGCCCAATTATCAGTTTCCTCAGGACTGTCCAGCAGGAAAATGATTGCATTCCAGGTATGAATAGCTAAGCCAACACCGTTAAGATTTGCATATTGTATTCTATTTTCCTCTGCAAAGAAAGTCATCTTTTCCACTAGAAAGAATGTCTGTGGAATCAGAACCTGAAGGTTACAACACAAACTCTAAACCACCAAATGTTAGTTTCTAGGAATGACTGCTTGACTCAAGAGTAGGGAGTATACCTTTAGCTATTTTTTGTGGAACTGAAAAGGTACAAGAAACAGAAGTAAAATAAATTCTAGTTTGTCACGCTACTCAATTCTGCCGTGTCTTGTCTTTTACTGAAGTCTTAAGTAAAAGCTACCTTAAGTAAAACTACTTTTGTGTCATCCAACCATTAGTTTGATTCTAAGATTAAAGAATTTCTATGCTCTCTTTTTTAAATTGCTTTGAAATAAGTCAAGTCAGTTCACAAAATACTGATACTGTATATTCTCACACTTAAAATTTTCATTAAATCAAATAATATGAACAAAATATTACAGCACTGACACACATCCTTAAATGGAGCATGAACTTTTGGAAAAATAAACTGCAACTCTCTTTCAAGCCCAAATGGATATCAGAGAATGAGTCTCCATCTATTTTTATTCAAGTTTTCTGCATTCCAATGCTCTTAAGACTGACATACTTTCTGCTCCTTCTTATCCCATGGCAGTAGTGATCCAAAGAGCACCACTGAAGGTCTTCTCATGTAATGGATATGAAAGCACACTTGGATTTCCTTGCTATGACAATTTGAAAAGATCAGTTCCTACTGCCCCTGTGGAGATCAGATCTTTTCAACTTCTTGAATTGCTATTTCAATCTCATTTTTCTAATTTTCTTTTTTTTTTAATCTCCATTACCCTTGATGGGCTTGGTCAGCAGAGTCACCATATTAGCAATTTCTAGGCATGTGAGACTGTAAATGCCTGAGGAGAAAAGAGCATTGCTTATTCAGATTTTTGTCATATTTCATGTTCTCTCTCTGGATAGAATATACACTATATATGTTCTGCAGAACATACACTAGCCATAGTTGAATGAAATCTAAACCCTGTTGTTAGGTAACAAATATTACGATGATGATTCTGTGATTATCATTATTTTACAATTACTCATTTTGCTGCCACCTATAACAAGAAATCAACATACCCTTTACCCATAAAACAAGTGTTCCTACCTGAATATACTAACAGAATTACAGATCAGAATAAAAAATACATTGTTGTATGTATTTTGAGTGTCAATTTCTTAATACTATGACAAATAACAAGATATTATATTAAAATAATTTGAAAGGACATTAAAATTGGACCTTTTAAGGCATGTACTGTAAGTCTGATACACAGTCCTGAAAACAGTTATGGTGTCCTACTTTCAAAAAACTTCTGGAATAGCTTTAGTTATAAAATATGAATGAAGAAAAGCACCAAAATAAAACTATACTTTACAAAACACTTTTAAAAATTGTCAGAGATACAGATAGGCATTTCTTCACTGACTTCCATATGAGTACACAGTTTATAAAAGCCTAATTGCTATAAATATGATCACAACTTTCTATAGAAGTAGTATTATCTTCTGGTATCGGTATGCTTTTTCAAACCTGATACATAAGGAGATACTTAGCCGATCCATTGAATGATGTAATTTCTTCAGAAACTAACTAAAACCCTAAGAAACTACTTAGATCCCATTTCTACATGGGACCACTGCCACCTGAGTATCCCCTGCCTCTCAGTTCCAGAAAATTGTACTTACAGGACATGTACAGAACATTAGTGTTTTGATCCCAGCTTGTACCAATACGTGATTCCTTGTGCAGTCACTTACCATCCAAAAACAGGAACATGATGAGACAAACCAGAGAAATTTATAAATTCACTAAATACATTAAAAAAGTGCAAGTTTTAGTCTTCTGGCATTAGTGTACAGCACTTGTGTCCACAACATTTTCTTTAAGATGTACCAATGGATAGAAACAGAATGGTTTGGGTTGGAAGGGACCTTAATGACCATTTAGTTCCAACTGCCCTGCTGTGGGCAGGGACACCTTCCACTAGATCAGGTTGCTCAAAAACCCATCCCACCTGACCTGTAACACTTCCAGGGATGGAGTATCCACAACTTCTCTGAGAAGCCTGTTCTGGTGTCTCACCATTCTCATTGAGAAGGAAACTTAAGACATGCAAGACATTTCTTCCTGGCAGGACCTTGCCCCCATCCACCCAAAAGGCCATCACCTTGTGTCACCAGAGCCACAGTACTACACATACACCTCATCCAGGGGCTGACATGTGGCCACAAGCTTGCTTACCATATGATCAGTGCACTTGCATGATCCAGCTGTTTAAACGATGCATGTGCCTGTCCTGTTAAGTGCAGCCACATGTGGCCACCAAAAAAGGCCCCTAAGGGGTGCTGTCAAAAATAGGGCAGCAGGAGCTGGTGTGCAGTAACAGCTCTAGAAAACAACCCATATCCCCATATCCAACCAACACACGAGGGGCCTTTTCAGAAGACAGCAGCAGGAGGTGCACTGGCTGCTCTCACTGGGGCCAGGCACAGGTCAGCCCTGAGCACAGACCTCTCCCACGGAGCAGCTGAGGGAGCAGAGACACCCACCAGAGCCATGCAGGCTTCCCTGGTTTCTGCTGCTTTTCCAATAGCACTAAAATACACCTCCTTGTTCAACAGTTTTTCAGAACACCCTATTCACAGTCAATGGGTCAAAAGACCTTGAGTACTTTTGAAAAAATTATATTTTACATTTTTCCCTGACAAGCATCTAATCAGTTGTTGGGCAACTGATTAGATACAACAGAGAGAAAAACTTCAGATTGAAACTACCAAATAACTAAGACAGCATGATATTTAAATCAAATCTAGGCCAGCCACACAATATAGATTCTCTCTAGTGCTGAGACATCCTTGAACATTGTACAAAGAGCTGCCATCCTTCATTTAATAGTTCTTATATTATGAGAGACCAGATTAGATCAGTAATGTAGTGTATTGTATTGGACTTTATAATCAAATATATCAATACAGTTACATAGCTCTATACTAAAACAAGAGTAAAATTTAGATTTCCAGGTAAGTAAGTGGTTAATTTTTTTTTTTGCCCAACTAGACACTTCCCAGATTTGTCTAAAGGTGACTTCATCTTTTGTCTGTCATTCATTCCAACTCAGCAAAAATAGAAATTACATGAAACTGCCATTTCCATAATCTGCAAGTGAGTTGGTAAAACACAAGACTGCTGCAAAGACTTGCCTACTGATGGAGCCATCAGTGTCTGCATGATATTCAGAGATGTTCTTTCCCCACTTTTTCATTCCTTTGTCTCATATCGCGTTCAAGTCACACACTCAAGCTCCCTGCTCTCTTCTGGTACTCCTCCCTCTTCTGCACTGTTTGTTATCCCTCTTCTATTCCTTTCTTTTTAAGTTCTACTCTTTCCAGGTACTTTAAATCCCACTCCTACAAAAGTTTATGTTAAAAATTTGACACAATTTCTGACAGTACAAATCACTGTTTCACTCTATTTAGTTGTACATTAAAACTCTCACAACTTTGGTTTCATGATACAAACTTCAAACTTGGAGGAGAACTGAAAAATCTCTTATCCATGTTTGAGTGGTGGTTAGCACAATGGAGATCTTAGACGGGACCTCACACAGCTGGACACTGTAAACTTATGTTGAACCATATGATAAAATTGCAACAGTTTTACTTAAATACTGAACATACAATATATCTTATGTATATACTTTGAAATATATAATATATATGCATAATTATATAAATTGCTTAAACACTTTTTATACACGTTATTCAAATAAAAGTAACTTTTTTCCATGTAAAAGACACTTGTCCTATACCGCTTCCTTAATTGACAATGAGAGCTTTTCAGAGTGTATTATATGGATTTTCCTCAAAATAGGAAGAAATAGAAAAAGTGTGTAAGATTTTAAATGCTTTAGGCAGGCATCAAAGCAGAAAAACTCTCCGTTTTCCTAGGTAGAATATTTCTATGTCAAATTTGAATTGAGATAAACAGAAATGAGAAAAATTTATACTGATGGTGAAAACACTTGTAAGCTGAAAAGAAATTAATTAAAAAGCAATAAAACAGTTTTACTAAAGTAATAAAACATATCATTTTGTTCAGAAAAATTGTTTTGTTTAAAAAAAAGATTGCATGTTCAAATATGAAAAAAACTCCTGTTGAAATATGCAAACATTATGTGTGACAAAAGCAAAGGCATTTTGCAACATTTCAGTGCCCCTTGACAAACTGCTGTAAGGACTTCCCCAAACAGAAGTACAGCTCATGTTGGTTCCTGAGAAGTAAGGAATTAGTGCATTAGTTGGTTCCATCAAACAGAAAATAAAAGCTTCAGTCCAACCTGAAAAGGATGTTTGCTAAAAAAAATTAATGTTTAGCAAATGCCCAGAGAAAAAAGATGTTCGACCATTTTCTTCATTCCATAGAACACTGTTGATTAGGCAACTTCAACAGGATCTCCAAATGATTAAACTGTAATACACAAATATTATGTACATTTAAATGGTAATGTGAGAGAGAAAATCGATCTAGTTCCTACCAGTTTGGCTGAGCTGTGACGTGCTGCGACTTTTTCTTGAGAGACCCACTATGGCGACCATCTTCGCACCGATGCTGGACCGTCTCTTTTTGCTGCCGCCACCAACAGTGCCCACTGCTGTGTCAGACTGGCTGCCATCGTTCTTCTCCAGCGTGTACATGTCCCCGCTGATGCTGGTGCTCTTAGTCATGTTCTTTCCTGAGACGCCCATCTGTCTGCTTTGCATTTTGGATGTAAAGACACTGTCAGCCAGTAGACGGATAAACAGTGCAGACAAAGAGTAAAAAGGGGAAGACAGAAAAGGACAGGTTTCAGATGGAAGGTTCTGGGAGACTAGAGGGTAAAAGCAGCTAATCACACAGGTAGGGTTTGGTTTTGAGAGGTAAAAAGGAGCGACTTTAATTCTAGGTTCTTGTTGGGTCTACTGCAAAAATACTTGACTCATCAAAATTGTATTTTAAATAACAAGCTCTTATTTACTGATGACTTAAAATATATTACCAGCAAAAGTATATCAAAGAATTAATGTATCCGTATATCATATAACCATTTTTTGTTTGGGAAATTCAAGTTCTGCAGTCAGTGCTCTGCCTCTCTTCTTCTCACATATATGTACAAAAATGACCTCTAGGAAACAGACACTTGATTCATTACTGAGTGGAAAAGGATATCAGTCTGAAGGTTAGTTTCCAAACATGCAGACATTTCAAGGATGTTTTCAGTAAGTTTTTAGTAATTTGGTTTATCTCAGTCATCATACAGTAATGAACACTAATAGGTTTTTTGCTCCCTCTCTTCATCAACAAACAGTTCTTAGATATGTATTTCATACAACACTTGGCTGCTATGTGATATAGATCACCACTACTGATAAAATAGATTTTAATTCTATTATACCTTTTGTACTCATTTACAGACTGTTTTTACATGCTCTATGTGGCTGCATCTAAATTATCTGCTGTAGCATTTCACAAGTCCCGCAGGGATCTGATCTACTAGTGGACCGGGCTAAGGGACTTTTCCCTTCCACAGAAGTGGCAATCTACACTGATGACAGCAGTACTTATCCACATTTTGCCTTGACATCTAACTGGTAGGTGTCTGAACAAATATCCAGAACTGGAAACTCTGGAGTACATGTGGGCCTGCGAATAGGCCATTCTCTCTCCACAGAGAGTGCATTTCACTAAAAAGTCCCCATGAGATGCAGTTTTAAACAATCCACAAAACAGTGGAGTACTTTTGGAAACCAGGGGAAATTAAATCACCAGTATGTAAAGGCTAAAAAAAAATTAGTTTTGCTCTTTAAACAGATTTTCAAATATGTGCAGAGGCTGTTCTTAGAGTTTTACTGCTCAGGAAGTGGCTGTAGAGTAAATTTTAGTGGATATAGCCTCACTCCTTTTTTCTTACCTGTAATGACCTGAGTCTATTTCAAAAACTGAAGGTTTATTGCTTCTTTATGAATTTTTTGCAACATATATTCTGTCAATATCTTATCTATGGAATTAATGCAGTGCCCTCAAAAGCAAAAGAATCACTGGGTCTCTTCCCACAGATTCAAGGGAATTTGGGATGAGGCAACTCTTTAATATATCTGAGAGGTACCCAGACAGTGCTCCTCTGCTCTTTGGTTCACAACTGCATGTGCATGAAGGCACAAAATGCTTGTAGTCTAGCCACAACTCAGTGGGAAAGCAAAGAGTTAGTTTGTAGAAGAAGTAGACCTCTGTCATCAAGTGAAAAAAATGCTGAGTGTCCTTCTCAGGGAAGTTACAAGGGAAAATATGAATGAGAGTTTGGATCAACAGATAGAGAAGCACAAAACAAAGCTGCGAGAGAGCCATAGTGGCCTTGCCTGGACAGACAATAACAAAAGACTGGAACACAGTGGTAACCTGAAACCATTTTTCTTACCCCTTTTTAGCTCTCTTTGTTGTTATATTAGTACACACTGACTCTCATTGGCATATTTATAACCAAGGAAGGAGTATGATAGGATGTGGGTAAAGAAGAAGGCAAGGAAGACAACAGAAGACGAATTGTATTTCTGTGTCTTTTCAGTACTACGATAACTTACTTCTCAGATGGTAACATCACATGCTGTACTTTTTATCAAATAAAACCTTAGGGATTGATTCACAAAAAAGAGATGACACAGAAACTAGTTCTCAGTTTTAACACTACCTTGCATATAAAAGTACTAGAGGTTTAGAAACCTGGGAAGAGCTAGTATCTTCAACTTTATCTTGAGCAAAATTCTAATAAGAATCAGAAAATTAGAGTCCCTTATCCAGTAATGCTTTTTTTAACCCAAGTTCTCAAAGGAAATATGATTAACGTGACTGCGTTTTTAGTCAGGTCTCTCTCTTTTCAACATTTTTTAAAATCCTTTCAAATTAGACAGCGCAGTAGAAAACTAAAGCTGTTTAGTTTCTAAAACTGTTTTGAAAACAGACTCCTGGAAAGAGATCTTATAAATACCTCTTTGGGGAAAGATTGCAGTATAAGTCATTATTGAATCTCTGTTATTTTATGTAGCACCTCATTCACATGCACAGGCTGATGAAGGAAATAACTTTTTTACTGCTTGCAGAACAACCTATTTCTATGATCCAATTTTCAAAAATAATACCCAGAAAATCAGTGGATTCCTTCCATATGGAAAATAGTAATCAATGCATTCTTTTGTAAATGATATTAACATTCAAGAAATGTCTTACAGCAAAGGAAAAAAATATTCTACTGACTCATACAAAAGTTACACTGAGGAGGAATTTACTTCCTGAGTCTAATGTGCCTTTGAGGTGCTTTGTGTGCCCTTTCCAAGATGTATAATTCTATTTAAGTGGAATGGATTACAATAATTACCCTTATTAGAGAAATCAATATATTTAAAGAGGTTGGCATGCAAACAAAGTTGCTATAATCTCACTATGCAGTTAGCTATGAAAGTACTGTGAATTTCAAAAATTTGCTCCTTCACTGCTAAAGGTTTCTGTACCACAAAATGAAGTTTTGCTGTGTACACCTGCCAGCAGTGACGTAGACTTCATTCAGACACCTTCTCCCAACCAACTGAGAAAAGTAGGAAAGGGAATTCAAGTGAGAAAAAAGGGATTTATATTTAGATTTATGTGAAAATGCCAAATACTACTATAAATGGCTAATACTGAAAGTTCATTCACAAACTTCTTTTCCCTCCAGTAGAGTTCTAAAACTATGTTCTATATTTAAAGGTTTGGGTTTTTTTCCCCTACTTTAAAAGCAACAGAGAAGACATCTTTGTTACAGTCCCAACTAGCTAACAACTCCTGGAGAAAGCCATCGTATAGCAGTGGCTTAGTTTTTTCTCAATTCCTCTTGCAACAAAAAAGCTTTGAGAAATAAGCACAAGGAGAGTTCTGAGTGGTTTATAGTTCCTTATAATAAACCTACAGTGGTCATGAGCACTTCCTTCACCAACACTCTGAACCCTTTCTGGCCATCCAAACCCTAATTCACTAATTATTTTTGGTAGATGCTTGATAGATGCTTGATATTCTCACCAGTAGAAGCCATCCTTCTACCCAGGCTGCTTTTTGACAGTGCCAGAAATGGATAATTTTCAGAAAAACTGGGTGTTGTATGTCAGGTTTGGTTCCTTTCTTAGGTAACAGAAAGTTGGACTTCAGAGTAAAATTTAGAGAGTAAATCATACAACCTTTTCTCTTAACAGGAAACAGAAATTACTGGAAGTTTTCTTTACATGTACATATATAGAAACAATCACACACATATCCAGTTCAACAATATTTTAAAACTGACATTAAATAAAAGAAATTTATGAGATTGTATGAGTCAATGAATAGATGTGCACTAAAAACAGGGTTCTCAAGGTGACTTATAAGATATTAATCTTAAAAATATCCTCATCAGATATAAAGTTATTAGAAAGCATCCAAAGGAGGGCTACAAAGATGGTAAAGGGTCTAGAGGGGAAGTCATGGCGGTTGAGGTCAGCTGGCTTGTTCAGCCTGGAGGAGACTGTGGGGAGACATCATAGTGGTGTACAGCTTCATCATGAGGGGAAGTGGAGGGGCAGGCATTGGTTTCTTCTCTGTGATGACCAGTGATGGGACCCAAGGGAATGGCATGAAGTTATATCAGGGGAGGTTTAGGTTGGATATTAGGAAAAGGTGCTTCACCCAGAGGGTGGCTGAGCACTGGAACAGGCTCCCCGGGGAAGTGGTCACATCATCAAACCTGCCAGCATTCAAGAAGCATCTGGACAATGCTCTCAGGCACATGGTGTGACTCTTTGGGCTGTCCTGGGCAGGGCCAGGAGTTGGACTTTGATGATCCCTGTAAGTCCCTTCAAACTCAGGAAATTCTCTGATTCTGTGAAATTTAACATGGTCCTTGCAGTCGTTGAAGATTCCTGTGCCACAACTATAGCAGTTAATAAAATGGCTTAGGCCTGTTGTCTAACCTTGGCAGCCTGTGTACACACAGCTAGCTTATGTTCTTTGCCAAACAGTGTTTTCTCAGGCGTCCTGACAAGAGGAAACTGACCCTGAGCCATGCTATCTCTTGATTTGTCCCTGAACTGAATCAGAGGCACCTTATCAGTATGTCCAGCACAAAGCCATGCCAAAGAGAACACAAGCTGTCTAAACAATGTGTCCTGGCCCTGTATAGCTCACTGGTATAGACTTAACCTTAACTTAATCTTAAATTCCTTGATGATACTACAAATTCAGATTGTTTTCAAATTCTGATATTCAATGGGCTAATTAACTTTTTCTGAATGATTTTAAAGAAAAACACTAAGCAACTACAAAACTGCTATTCATACATGGCCTTCTGGAAATGCAATGTTAAGTTTCTGGATTTCTTAAGCCATTAATCATCAAGATCTCTTTGCAGAGGCTCACCTGTTTTCAAACCAGAGAGTGTAATTACTCTATGGAAAAAAAGGGGTTTCAAAGTTTTCCAGACTCCTACTACAGCAGATAATCAGAAACTATCATGTTTTTCTCCCCAGTTTGTTAATATTTGTATTGAATTACAAAAAGATTACAAAAAAGTGCCTGGGGAAATCCTCATAGAAGAGAAGCAGCGAAGAAGGTTTCACAAGAAGACCTTTGCCTTTGATTTAGTCTTGGTATCTCCTGCTTTAGGCAGACCATTTTCTTTATATCTGACTAAGAAGGAAAGGAATTGTTTGTAAGGTTTGGGTTAAGGAGAGAAAAGATTTCAC